AGGAGAAATAAGAGATCATGGGTAATTAAATTTTGGGAACTGATAAATTAGGAAAGTGAGGGTCAATGAAGACAAGTAAGAGTGTTGGGGGGAGGAGTCATGAAGAATATAGGAGTATCTCAAAGGGAGATAGGAATGAGAGTTTACTGGGTAATATGGAGGGAATTGGAGCCCTGGTGGCACGGTGGTTAAGGATGTGGCTGCTAACCAAGTGGTCAGCAGTTTGAATCCACCAGCCACTCCTTGGGAACCCTGTGGGGCAGTTCTACTCTGTCCTGTAGGATCAGTGGAGTCGGTATTGACTCAACGGCAACAGGTTTGGTTTGGTTTGGTTTGGTTTGGTTTGGTTTTTTATTGAGAGAATTAAAGAAGGGAAGGTAGTCATTGAAATTTAAGATGGAAGTCATAGGAAGTAGGAGTTACACAAGATCAGGTCTCAAAATGTCCAGTATGATATTAAAGAGGAATTTTCAGTCGCCTCAATATGCATGTGAAAGCTGGACAATGAAAAAGGAAGCCCGTAAGAAGAATTGACATATTTGAATTGTGGTGTTGTGAAGAATATTGAATATACCATGAACTGCCAGAAGAACAAACAAATCCGTCTTGGAGGAAGTACAGCCAGAATGCTTCTTAGAAGCAAGAATGGCAAGACCTTGTTCTCGCTTACTTTGGACACATCATCAGGAGGGTCCAACTGCTGGATAAGGACATCATGCTTGGTAAAGCAGAGGGTCAGTGAAAAAGAGGGAGACCCTCAATGAGATGGATTACACAGTGGCTGCAACAATGGGCTTAAGCAAAACAATGATTGTGAGGATGGTGCAGGACTGGACACCGTTTCATTGTCATACATAAGTTTGCTATGAGTTGGAACCAACTTGATGTCAACCAACAACAACAGAAGACTTGAAGAAGGATAATTCATTCAACAAGTTGAGGAGCGTTTAGAATGGACACAGGAAATTCCCTATACATGCCTGCTGGAAAATGGGATGGAGCAAATGGTTAACACGCTAGGAGGTGGCTCAGAAGAAAGTCTGGCAATTTACTTCTGAAAAATCAGCCATTGAAAAGCCTATGGAGCACAGTTCTACTCTGACACACATGGGGTCACCGTAAGTCAGGATCAACTCAACAGCAGCTGGTTTTTTTCTGGTGCTACAAGTTCAGGAGTTCAGTGGCCTATTGAAGGAGAACCAAGCACCTGGCTATTAGACGTCACCCTGCACTGGCAGGATTGTTCAGATCTGCCTTTTCTTTCCCAGCTTTGGTGCTTTTCTCTACTGAACCTTATAGGGGGTATCTGTAGGTGACAAAAGAACAGCTAGTGGGCCCCAGAATTATCTAAGAGGAACTGTATAGACAGCAGCATAGGAGGGCATCCAAGACCCCAATTAGTCCTTTCTGATCATGAGCTATGTCTGTCATACTATCTCCTTTAAAAAAGGTCATGTTGATCACTTTTTGGTCTTTTTTGAGTATCAACAGCGTGCTGCAGGCAGTCTGGAAGTAGGAACTGAAGGGAATTATGACTGGCTTACTTCCTATAGGAAACATGAGTGAGAAAGTCAAGCAATGCAAAGAAAGCATATCCAATGTTGGGGAGGAACTGAGAAGAGCTCAGTTCCCGAGAGACCTAGCCAGCCCAACCTAGAAACAGGAAGACTTAAAAGCCTCACTGTATAGCAAAAACCCTATGTTCTTTATTTTAATAATTATCTCCTTTTTAGGGTCTATATTTGCATAATACAGGAGAATAACTACAATGACCCCACCATACTATCAGAATACCCTTAGTGGTGATTCTGCAAAAGCTGTGGCCTGAGTTCCCATCCCTATTTGGGGTGAACCCTTGTGTCAAGGTTTGAATTATGTCCTCCCAAAAATGTGTGTATAAATTTGGCTGGGCCATGATTCCCAGAATTGTGTGGTTGGCCTCCATTTTGTGATTGTAATTTTATGTTAAAGAGGATTAGGGTGGGATTGTAACACCATCCTTACCCAGGTCACATCCCTGATCCAATGTAAAGGGAGTTTCCCTAGGGTGTGGCCTGCACCACCTTTTACCTTACAAGAGATGAAAGGGAAGCAAGCAGAGAATGGGGGGACCTCATACCACCAAGAAAGAAACGCCAGGAGCAGAGCGCATCCTTTGGACCCAAGGTTCCTGCACAGAGAAGCTCCTAGTCTAGGGAAAGACTGATGACAACAAGGACCTTCCTCCAGAGCTGACATAGAGACAAAGCCTTCCCCTGGAGCTGACACCCTGAATTTCGACTTCTAGCCTACTAGACTGTGAGAGAATAAATTTCTCCTTATTAAAACTATCCACTTGTGGTATTTCTGTTAGAGCAGCACTAGATGACTAAGATACCTTGTATTTATCTCTAGGCCTCTTTCAGTTTATCTTCACACCCATACTGGCTCAAGTTCTTACAAATGTTCCCGCCAGAAGTCTTCAACCTCTGGTTCAGTTCTACTTAACAAACATTCCTGAGTGCAAAATTCCTGCTTGAGATCAGTAAAACTGTCAATGAAACCCCCATTTTTCAAGTTGCTTACTTTGGGGGAGCTGAATAAAGATCAAAATGGTAATGCCCTATGTATTTGAGGTCCTACTGCAAAAATTCTATGAATGACTTCTCAAGCACTGCATTAGAAAGTTTCCCGAATACTGCAGGGGCAGTAGTGAAGAGGCATTATGATTCCCTGTGACACTATTTTTTACCTTTTGAGACAAGGATGCTTAGGGTTTGCATGTCTATGGTCTGTGTTCCTTTTTACAAAGGGAAGTAATCCCAGGTAACAATGGCTAGACTGGTGGCTAGTTGAGGTAGGAGATAAGGATAGAAGACAGCTCACATGAATGTCATGAATTGAGAAAAAAAAAAAAGGTGGAAAACACTGGTCTGGATAATAAGCTACGATTCTGAGGTTAATATTTGTGCTGTGAAAAAGTGATTTGCTTAGGTCTATCATGTCGCCCAGGGTAGACAGGGCTCAAATTGTGTTCATTTTTGCTTTCTGGCTTCTCAGCAGCCTTTCGACCTGTTATTTGGTGTCCTGAAGAGGTGATTGTAGAACTTGTTCCACTACTCAGCTCAGGTATGCTGTCTATTCCAAGAAGTCAGTTGTCATTTTGGCTTTAAATCAGCTTCTTGTGAAGTTAGTTTTGGTAAGTCAGTCACTTCTTTAGTGCCTGGTCACTGACGAGTGTATTATCAGTCACATTCTGGATGTTGAGGCTAAAGCAACCCTGGTTTCTCCTAAAACAGAAAGAGAGGTGGCTTTTAGCTTTCTGTGCTTCCACCTCCTGCCACAGTGGCTAAATGTCTAACCTCAGTCATGTGCTGTACCTCTACCCTTCTCTAAAGATACCAAGACCACTCCTGGCCTGCCGGTCCCCTGACCCCTCCTGCTCCCTTACAGTACCCCTAACTACTAGGTGCCAAGAGCGGTTTCTGAGAAGCTGTAGCTGGGTTCCCAGTCCCCTGGCAGGTGGCAATGTCAATCCTGGCTGCGGGAGAGGAAACATGTCCAGGAAATTCTATCACACATGCTGTGTGGTGGTGGCTCTGGTGGATGAGGCGGATTGATAATATCCCATATTCCTGTAGGATTGGCTGGGGAGGAGGGAGACAGGGAAGGAAGGCTCACAGAGAAGGGAGGAAGTGGGTCTAGGTTTGGGTGAGAATGAAAAAGGATAGAAAGGACATGCTGAGCGGAGAAGGAAGGCAAAGAGAGTCTACTAGATCACGAGGACTGTTTAGTACAAGGCACACCGTGAGGCCTTGATAATTAATTGCAGACTTTAAGAAGGGGTTGGAAACTAGCCAGAAGAAAGGAGGTTGAATAGAGGAGTCGGTGCCAGCTTTGAAGCTTGAAGTCTGCACTGAGGTCCCACCTCCTGTTTTTCTCTGAGCCCACAGCACCCATCCAGGAATTTTCGGAGCAGCAAGCTAGGCGAGCTCCTCCTCCTCCTTCCGCTGACGTCTCCGGACGACCCAGCGCACCTGGCCCTCAGCAGCCCTGTTGCACCTGGGTGCTCTCCCTCGCCCTCATGCTTCTACGCTCTTCAAGCCAACTCTGACCGGGACTAGTTAAGGCCAGTGAGAACACAGACCCTAGAAAGGCCGAGAGGCTGACGGCGTACCCGACGCGCACCCACTTCCGTTTCCTGAACCGAGCTAGCGTCTTTGTCTCCGTGCAGCGTCCACTGCTACGTGCTATATTCCTTTCCGGGCCACTTGCAAGATCCCCAACTGGTGGGCTCTCCAGTACCTCCCTGGGATACCGATCCGTGAATCCCTGGGAGCAGGGGAGGAGAGGTGAGGCAAGGGACCCGGCTGCCCCCCGGGGAATCTGATGCGGGGGACCTGTGAGCGCAGGCTGGGAAAGTGCCATGTGGGCGGGCGGGCTGCTCCCCAACTCTGAAGAGAGGCTGGCCCAGGAAGCTCAGACGCCGCTTTTCCTGTGAGCTGGTGAGTTTTCCTCTGGGATCTTTATTGTTCTTTCTCTACCCAGAGCCTCAGCCTACCTGTATCTCTCCAATTCCCTCACCCTTTCCTGCCATCCAAGTCCTGCCCTCCCTTCCCACCTGCCTCCTCAGTCACTTTCTACTTCGGTTCCGCAGTGTAAGGGTGGAACGCCGCCTTTGGTAGTAGAGACCATGAGGGGCACGCTTTAGAGAGTGGGTCCTCTGAGGCTGGGGTAGTTAAAGAAGGGAAGGTTAGGGGAGAGAAGATGGAGAGAGGACACATTAAGGAAAGGGGATGGAGTTCAAGAAGAGGGAACCAGAGGGAATTTATTGCTTAGGGATACGGGTAGGATGTGAGTAGGGAAGAGCTGTGAGTACTGAAGAGATGTGAGGGAGATAGTTCTTGGATGTCAGGTTCAGGGAGGAAGAATGGAGGGGGGGGGTGCTCAAGATGGGGCTCTCACTAATGACCTCTCCCCCAGCTTACCGTTCCCCTATCTTCATCCTCCACAGACTAGCCATGGCATCCATGCACTCTGCAACTGGGGCTCAGGTGAGAATGTGGCCTCCTGACTTCCTCTGTGTGTCTTTTTCCTTTTTCCTTTTCTTTTTTACTATCTCTGTGGTGAGTGTGTGTGTGTTTCTTTTCCCTTTTGCACTAGGGGCCTGTACTTAGCCATCTTTTTTTCTTAGTGCATCTCAGAAGCCTGGTCCCTTCATTTCTTTCTAAATCCACAGCTTTAACCAAAGTTTCATGATGAAGCTGGGTAAGAAGGGTCCATTTATTTGTTCATTCAACAAGTAGAAGCAACAGGAGCGCAATGGCCAGAGAACTTGGCTGGGGCCAAAGGAGACCGAAGTTCTCATTCTAGCTCTGCCAGTAGGTAGCCATGTGACTTTGGACAAACTTTAGCTTCTCTAGGTCTCTGTTTTCTCATCTACAGAATGATGGAATTGTAACAGATGAGCTCACTTTTCTGCTCAAAAGCCGTAATGACTATGATATTATGGTTCTATTTATTAAACAGTGCTGGGCATTTTATTCATCCCTGCCTTTGGTTCTGTTTTCTCTCTAGGTCACTGCCTTTATCTGCTTCTCATGCCATCCTCCTCTTCATGGCTTTGTATCTGGCTGCCCCCCTCCATGTCTTAGTGTTTCTCTGTATCTTCACTCCCTTATGAGTCTCACTCTTGGGCTGTCATGCCATTCCAGGGGCTGCTGACATTTGAGGAGGTGGCAGTGAGTTTCTCCCAGGAAGAGTGGGGGCATCTTAACTCTGCCCAGAGGGCCCTCTACCGGGACGTCATGTGGGAGAACTACAGAAATCTGATTTCTGTTGGTGAGACTTCATTTCTCTTCCCTGTTTCAGAATCCCCATTCTTCTTCATTAGCTGTTCATAGACTTCAGTGCTATTCAATGGGAGCATCCCCATGGATACTCTCATCCCCAAATCGGGATACTGAATGGGGAATTGATTGATGTTGGAGTGGTCTAATAACACAGTATGTTTTGGGTCAGTATTATTCTCAAAGAACATTCTAGAAAGTGAAAGTATTTATGTAGGGCACTTAGAACAGTGAATAATAGCTCTATATCACTTTTTCTAGAAGCCTAGACTCCTTTAAAGCAGCTGTATTTCTTAATTTGCTAAGAATTTTCGAAAGCCATGTCAGGGCCACTGTATCAAAAGTCTTTGGGAGACTTAATCACCTTTGTCACTCAGACCAGAGCCCACGGATTCATTCGCAGAAACAAGTTGTCACCATCTGTTTTACAAAACAGGGCAGGCTTTCACTCATATTTCCCTTTTCTTTAACCCTATCTCTTTTATTTTGCCTACCTCTCGTCTTTCCTCCTTCCTCCTTTTATGTTCTTCCTCCTTATTTCTTCCTTTCTCTTTTCCACATTTTTTTCTTTTTTCTTTCCTTATTGCCTTCTTAGCCATGAAGGTTTCAGCCTATACTCCCACCCAAATGCATGTAATGCTGTATTTTCCCTGTCACATTTTCATTACAAACACATTTTTATTTCCTGAATGGAGTGTGATGGGAAACTCAGTAATATCTTTCTGACATTGACATCAAGGTTGTAATAGAGGGATGTAGTTGATTTTCATCACATTTTTTTTTTTTTTTACTTCAGAATGCAAACTTCCCCTGCAGTCCTCTCTGGCTCCACCATCAGTCCGTTCATACACATCACAGTTTGGGTGGGGTGTTCACAGATAAATAAGACATGGCCTCTGCCCACCTGGAGGTTACCTTCTGGCTGGCAAGATAAGAGGTCCGTATAGAAGAACTACCTGTTAAACATAGAAGGCTGAATATGCTCAATGTCAAATGAGTGTTCTAGAGCAGTGCTACTCAAAGTGTGGTCTGTGGACCAGTGCCAGTTTGTGAACTGTTTGTTACCAGTTTGTGGTGGGATAAGTACATACATTGAGAGAAAGTGGTTAGAAGCTTGTGGTTAGAAGCCTTTACAGCAATTTTACATTACTCCAGCATTCAAGCCTGTCAGTGGACTCAACTTATTGACCAAAAGTACAGAACAAAACAAAACTGGGGGTCCTTTGCCACAGATAGTTTGAGAAGCATTGGTCTAGGAAATTAGTGTTATGAGGTGGACAAGGATGGCTTCATGGAACTTGTGGTACTTGAAAGATGGACAGACGAATTAACTACTGAGAGATGGGTAGCAATGAGGGTATTCTAGGCAGGGAGAAAAAATGAGAGCAGAGGCTCAAAAGAAGGTGCATTCACTGGAAAATGGTAACAAGACTAGCCTTCCTGGTTAGGTTAGGGTAACATGAGAGGGCGGGGGTGGTTATAAAAATTGGAGTTAGACAAGTTCAGTAAACTGTATGACTCAAGCCCTTTGCTTCCAGCCTCATCACCTGTGACACTTTGTTCTGTGGCTGTGGGCAGTCATTCTAGAATTCTGAGAGTAAGATGGACCATTTATATATAGGATATATGGGAGGTGGACATAAGTTGGTGGGAGGGATGGTAGTTCAAAAGATGAGGTTAGAGAAGTTGAAGAATGGCTATCTGGATCTTGCCTTTTAGAGTGTCATGGTCCGGAGAATAAAGGGAAGGATAGCTGTAGATAGTTCAGTAAGAAATTTTTTATCTTCTCATTGACCCAACAGGATTCATATTTGCCAAACCTAAGCTCATCTCACAGCTGGAGCAAGGGGAGGAGCCATGGGTTCCTGAAGGCCCAAGACCTTCTAATCTGGGACTGATTCCAACCTTCTCTGCAGGTGAGAGGACTGGATCCAAAGTATAGTAACCGAGCAGAAGGGAAGGTTTAATGGGTTTTCAATATTTGGGAACGGTGAGGGAGGGGAAAATAAAATCTCTTTTTCTTCCTTAGTCATGTATCCTCTTACCAGTTTGCTCACCTAATGGTTGGTATAGAGGAGATTCAGCTTTGCCACCCACACCTCTTTGCCTTTTGTTGTTTCATCAGTCCCTGCTCTCAAAGACATTTGCCATGTATACCCCTCACCGTGGAATTGTCATCCTACCTCAGTCCCCCATCTGTCCTACAAGGCTTCTTACCTGCAGGGTTTATGTGCACATTATAGCTTTCTCTGAGCCCTCCAAAAGAGACTTATCTGTTGAGACCTCACACCTCTAACATCTAGATCTCATTGCGTTCTATTTCTTGCTCTGTTTGTTCATTTAGCAAGCATTTATCTAATGTACTGTGGGCTGGAGCTAGGCACTTCCTGATCCTTATCAGCATGTCCTGAGAAAGAAAGATGTTATTTGGAGTGTGAAATAGATTTGGATTTGTTCAGAGGTATAAGGGAGATGCAGTGGTTTCTCCTTTCTCTTCTAGGTAGCCTTGTAAATTTTTGAAAAATAAAACTTTTATTTTTCTGATTACAGATGTGATGCCTGCTCATAGTAAATACAGAAAGTGTAAAAAATTTAAAAATATCTATAAACTACCCAAATCTCTTTACATTTTGGTGTATTCCTCACAGACTTTAAAAAAAATTTAGTTTGATAGAGGTCTGAAGACAATGTCCATCTTTTGTATGTAGCTAAGATTAGCTCTTGTACTTTTATTTTTGGACAGTGTTTTCTCAGTATTATTTTGCTGCTCACTTAAACTTGGGGCCATCTGGTTGTTGTATTCCAAACTCTGTATTTATTTGATACTTTGGAGATTTTTAAAGCCCACATATGTTAGCTTGGGTTGAGTGTTAGAGGAAGTTTGGAGAAAAGTTCTTTCCATCCTAAGAATATGGAACCAGAAAGGTCTGATGGTGTCACTGGCAGGTGATGTTGTGATGTGGTTTGGGGTACCAGGTACACTCTGGTGTCTTTAGCACTTCGTGGTCCCCCTTGGTTGAGGTAGTGAGGCAGGTTCACTGATGTGCCACAGATCTGAGATTGTGTTGAGTGAATGTTAAAGACGTAGAGTATCCTCCTGTATAGTATGTGTGTGTGTGTGTGTGAGTTTTTTTTGTGCATGTGTTTGTTTCTCATGCTAATAGAAGCTCATGCATTTGATGACTTCTTAGTTCTAAACAGCTAAAAACTATTCCACAGTCACAGACATACCTTGCACTTACAATTGCTCACTACCCTACTGAGAGAATGCCATCTGTATTTATAGAGACTATCTGTATGCATGTCTGTTGATGTGTATATGTGTTTATAATTGCATAGTTGAACATTTCTGTCTAATTTTTGTTTGTCGAGGACTCATGGATAGGCTTAAAGGAACTCAAAACCAATATATACATTTTAAATGTAGTTAATGGACCTACTTCCTCAGTCTTCCTGCTACTGAAAGAAAGCAGTTGCAAAGACAGCTCAAGACATGGATAAGACAAAACAGCCAAAACTAAAAAAGTAGTTTTTGTTTGGCTGTGTTTTACCACTATTTTTAAAGCAAACTTACCCAATCAGCCGAAGACATTGTTTCAGCATATCTGAGCATATTTTATCTCAACATGTCTTAGAATCAAAATGGTATTTGTAAATATTACTGTAGATATTGTAAATATTACTATGTGATAGGAATTGTTCTAAGTGAATTTTTCAGTTTTGTACTTTTCAATTCCAGAATTTCCATTTGGTCTTTTTTTTTTGGTAATTTTTATCTCTTTACTGATATTCTCTATTTGACGAGCCATGTCATCATACTTTAAAAAAATTCCTTCATTCTCTCTTTTGTTTTTTGAACATATTTATAATAGCTGCTTTGAAGTCTCTGTCTGCTACATATGACATCTGGACTTCCTGAGAGAGAGCTGCTATTGACTTTTTTCTTGTATGTGGGTCATACTTTCCTGTTTCTTTTCATGTCTTCTAATTTTTTGTAGATCAGTGGACATTTTAGATAATATAGAGAACCTGGATTCTGATTCTCCATCCTCCTAAGGGTAGTTGTTTCTGCTTGTTTTTTTTTGTTTAGTGACTTGCTTGGACTAATTCTGTGGTGTCTCTTTCCTGACAGTTGAGTGGCCACTGATGTCTCTGCTCAGTTTTTTAAAATTCTTACCTTCGTTTTTATTTTCATTTTAAGCATTAACATTGGGCCAGAATGGTTTATTGATTACCCAAGTGATTTGTCCGAGGGTGTGCTTAAACACCCTGGTGCAGTAAGTTTTCCATTATCAATAGATTTGTGTACATTGGAGAATGTATTCAAAATTCAGGCAGTTGGCTTTTACTTTCTGTGTTTGCAAGGCCTCATGTTCACCCCAAGACCGGTTGCTTGCTAGTAGCCTTGCACATGCACACAGCCTTCCAGACCAGCAAGGCCTATATATCAAGGCCCATTTTGGGTGTTTTGTTCTCCATATCTCCCTGTTAATTTCTTGCTGGCCTACAGGTTTGTTGCTTTTCTTAATCCGTTTGGAGGTCTCAGGAAGGCTGAGTTGTTGGCCTTCCTTGATTGTTTGCCACTGGGATCACTGTTGTTTTTGACAACTCCCCTGGGCATGAGATTTTTCCACCCTCTCTCTGCTGGTCTTCATGGCCTGCCTTTCCCTGGCAGAACATTGGAGCCATTGAGGTGAGTGGGTGATGGGAGCAGCCCCAAGTTAAAGTGCCACAAGCTCTCACTGTTATTACTGAGATTCAGTAAATATTCTTGAGTAAATGCTTCTCAATTTGATGCCTTTGATCGATGTCCAGAGTCATTTCATGGTTGTTTTTGACACTCCCCCCCACCCCCACCCCCGCTCTGAAATAATTATGAGCCAAACAGAATTAGGAAATTAAACCTCTTAAAACCAAGAAGAAATAACTATGTTTGGATTGTTTGAATTTCTGGTGAGAGGTCAGATCACTGAACTTGAAGTTTCCATTTAGCAAACATTTATTAAGCAGCTCCTTAATCATTCTAGGAGTCCTTGGGTGGTGCAGAAGGTTAACTGAAAGGTTAGAAGTTCAGGGTCGTCTAGAAGTGCCTCAGAAGGAAGCCCTGGTGATCTACTTCTGAAAAATCAGCCACTGAAAACTGTATGGACCACAGTTCTACCCTGACGTACCTGGGGTCACCATGAGTTGGAGTTGGGCGTTCTAATCATCCTAACAGACCTGTTAAGTATGTCCTGTTTCCCCTAGTTTATGGATGAGTGAAGAGGCTTAGAGATACTGAGATTTGCCATATGGGTCCATGGTAGCTCAACAGTAGGGCACAAATCCCCTGATTTGCATTCAAGTCCATTCTCACTCATCTCTAACCCTGGCCTCCTCTCTCCTCTAAAGGTGACACGCCTGAGACCCCTCCCCCACCAAAGGAGGGCTGTGAGGCTGGTGATCTCCAGGGACTCTTTTCCCCAGCCCTGCCCAGTGGGGACGAGGCCTCTGGGGAGCCTACCGACAAGGTCCTCTACTGGCGCACCTCGGAGGGCAAGGAGCTGATCCCCTGTGCTGCTGCTGACTGTCCCTGGCCACTGCCTTCTCCCCCAGACCCGCCCAAGCCTTACCAGTGCCCACAATGCGGCAAGGGCTTCAGCCACAGCTCCAACTTCAATCGCCACAGGCGTACCCACAGTGTTGAGAAACGGTTCCAGTGTCCTCAGTGCAACCAGCGCCTGAGCTGGAGCTCAGACCTGACACGCCACTTGCGCACACACAGCGGCGAGCGGCCGTTCAGGTGCACACTGTGTGGGAAGGGCTTCGGTCTCAGCTCTGACTACGCGCGCCACCAGCGCACGCATACTGGCGAGCGGCCTTTCCCGTGCCCCCAGTGCACACGGAGCTTCAGCCGCAGCTCGGACCTGGCCACGCACCAGCGGGTCCACACCGGTGAACGGCCCTTCCGTTGTGCTGACTGTGGCCGCGGCTTCCTCCGCAGCTCGTCCCTGCTTATGCACCAGCGTGTCCATACCGGGGAGCGGCCCTACCGGTGCGGCGACTGCGGCAAGTGCTTTCGCCTAGGCCAGGACCTGGTCAAGCACCGGCGCACGCACACGGGAGAGAGGCCCTACAAGTGCACGGATTGTACCAAATGTTTTAGCCACAGCGCGAACCTCATCACGCACCGGCGCGTGCACACTGGTGAGAAGCCCTACAAGTGCCCGGAATGTGGGAAGAGTTTCAGCCAGAGCTCGCACCTCATCATCCACCAGAGAGCGCACACGGGTGAGCGCCCCTACAGCTGCAGCGACTGTGACAAGAGCTTCAGCAGCCGCTCCTACCTCCTCAAGCACCGCAGGGTCCATACTGGCGAGAAGCCTTATGGCTGTGATATATGCGGGAAGAGTTACAGTCAGAAGACCAACCTCATCACTCACCAAAAACTGCATGGGGCGGACAGGCAGCTGGGGGTGATACCTTGTGAACTGGCCGAGCCTAGGCCTGGATCCTGAGGCTCTTTCCTGGGCCTGGGTTGTGGCTCTGTGTGGGGAGAGCAGAGGCAGACCCACTTCCAGAAGCCTAGGCCAGACTTCACCCCTCCCCAGTGGGAATTGCCAAGGGAAGATTTAGAGCCACAGTAGAAAGTGGGTGGGATAGGGGAGTTTGAATTGATTTTCTCTAGGCACCATTTCTGGTGATCTACTTGCCCCCGTGCAAATACCTGGGGTTGCATACTAAGTGTGGCCTTTGGGACTCAGGCCTCTGCTCTTCTTGCCTTAGAGCCACTCCCATGCCCCCAGAAGTGTGGGGCCCTCAGAGAGCACTAGGCAGCAAATTCCTGTGTGCTTGGGTCCCCAGAGAATTATCTGGGAGCAGAAGATACCAAGCAAAAGGCTAGCACGTTGTATGGCGCTGGAAAAAACCAACCAACCAGCCTTTTTAGTGTTTTCTCACCACTCTTAACCTGGTCTCATCCTATGGTTTTCACCCCACACTTTAATGGGTCACTGGAGTCTCTGGACTACCTCGTGGATGATATTAAAGAGGGAGGAGAAGGTAGCCCCATCTTGAGGTGGTCTTTTGTTTCTACCCCCAAAATGACGTTCTGAGCTCTGCAGCTCAGGTACCTTTGTTTGCATCAGCCCGTCAACTTGATCTCACCTGAGTCCACCCAGATCTTCAGCTTTCAGTTAAGAAGCCAAGATACTCTGAACTTGAGTGGCACAGTGGATGAGATTTTCATTATAATTGCACTCTACCCTTCCCCAACTGGTGTAATTTCCTGCCCAGGTTTCCCATTGGGAAGGGATGTGGTGGAAGTCCGGGTAATTAGAAATTAAAAACAAAATAAAAAACAAAACACACTTCTTGTCTTTCATGGAACTCAGGGTTGAATTCACATACAGGTGGTGTTTACTTTTAACGGCTTCAGCTTCTCAGCCCAGAGATTGTTTCCTAGTTGAAGAGTTGTCAGAAGTGGTAAGTTGTCGGTGGAAACAATACTCTTCTCAATACCGCACCTGGAAAATCAGTTTCCAGAAGGACTCACCTCCTGGAGAGTGGGGCTGCCCGCTACTTTCTTGGGCACCAGTTCCTCCCTGCATTAAGCTGCCTTTTCACTGGAAGAATGCCAGTTTCAAACTTGAGGTTAATGGAGACCAGCATTTCTCTTTTCAGATGAATTATTTGGACCAACCCTATTTTCTTGTGCTATGTTTGGGAATTAGTTTAACGCCGTTGTTTACTAATGATTTTATTTTGGTTTAGTAATTCTGAACTTTTCAGAAGCTACCATTTTCTAGGTAGAGGCCTTTCCTTTAATAGTGTTCATAGAGCACTCAGGATATCAGAATTGTTCTGCCATAATGTGGCCAAGCCGGGAAACTGCATATTCTCCAGAATTAGTGGGCACTCTCTGATCCTGAAATACTGTAGCAACTTTCCATTGAACTAGGACCTAGGGCAGTGGTTCTCAGACTTTAGCTGGGTCCGTGAGTTGTATTTGACTGAATGGCGAAGAGTTTGGTTTTTTACCCACAGAGTTCCTGATTCGGTAGGTCTGAGGTGGGACTTGAGACCTTCCATTTCTAAGTTCCCAGCTGATGCCGTTGCTGCCGACCCGGGGACCACATTTTGAGAATTTTGGCCTAGCGTGAAGAGAGGCCAATTGTTTTGAGCTACCAGGTGTACCAACACAGGTTGCCACTCTACTCCAAATAAAAGGTGATCGAGGCGTTCCAATCTGTGTAAACTATATTGACAAGAGGTGGAGTGGTGTGTTACATGTTCTGTAGCCGCTGGGGTCTTCTGTAAAATTATTGCCCCAGTAGGTCACTGGGAAAAGCTCAGAAAACTGCTAAGAAATAACGGGTGGAGGTGATATCTTGCTTACCTAAGATGAATCATATTTTTGATTTGGAAAAAATTGTGACATGGGCAAAGTTGGACTTGGCCACCTTACCACCTTTCAGGTTCCTTTCACTGGTGGCTTGCCTCTAGCTGTTCTGTACCCATCTGAGGTCCAAGCCCTGTGAAGCCTTGCTCCTAGATCTCTCCCCTTAAGTTGAAAATTTTAAATGGCTCAGGTAATGCCCCTTTTCAGAAATTCCTGAAGTAAAAAATCGGTGACCCAGGCATGTTGCTAATGGCCCTGACTCAGACACTGCAACCGCAGATGCATTTTCTAGATTACATGCTGGCTGCTTGGATACAGCTCACAGATATGATGAACATTCACCAGAAAGGTGTGCAGAAAGGACACTGGATTTAGGGAACAGGTGTCATCTAATCACTTGGTCCCTCAACCTTGGGGGAAGTAGATCTTGACCACCTGAGGATACCTCCAATAAGCAACTCCTCCATGTGTCTTTTCCTTCTCTCCTGATGAGCACACACACACCTTCTCTTTGCTGGAAATCTCTGTGAATAAAAGAAATCTGTGCCTAACTCCTTTTAGGATGAGGGTTGTAAGTCTGAGTTTAAAACTTGCTACCTATTTTGACTGGTGTTTTCCGTGTCAACCAAATAAACATATCTGGCCTGGATTAATGCAGTTCAGGAGTTTCTGGGTGATGCAAATGGTTAAATGCTCTGCTAATAACCAAAAGGTTGATGATTCAAACCCGCCCAGAGGTGCCATGGGAGAAAGGCCTGGCTGCTTCTGGAAGGTTATGCCCTATGGAGCTCTCTTCTACTCTGCAACACAAAGAGTTGCCGTGAGTTGGAATCAACTTGACTGGAACTGGAGTACCGTTAGAGATCTCTTGGTAATGATGGTAAAGAAAGAGCATTCATCACAATCTTCTCTTTGGTTCATTGTAAGAAAACCAGTCACAAGGAGCAGAGGGTTCTTAGGCATAGAACCCAACACAGAGCTCATCTGACCCAAACCTGTTGATGAAGCTGAAAACTAGAAAATTGATGGAAGGAGTGTGCTCTAGGTCACCTATGTCTAGTAGCAGGGTGGAGATGATAATCCAGGTCTTCAGTCTCAGTCTAGGGTTTTCCTGTTCATCAATTCTTGATTTTGTGGTTTTTTTTTTTTTTGCATGTTGATGATTCTAACCCATGTTCCAGAAAGACTTCAGTGTGCCTTATATAAATATGCAGAAAAGAAGTATGAGAGAGGCTGGACAAAGAAAAAAATTGAATAGGAAAAATAAGGTGAAACCAGAAGCCAGGTGATTACTCCAAAAATATGCTCTGAAGAAATGCACATTTCCTGGAAATAAGTTACAGATTTGACAGTAAACTTACTAGCTGCCATGCAAAGAGGGAAAAGTGATTGCTTAGTTTCTTAAAAACTTAAGATCTTAAATACTATCTCTAGGTATTTACCCAAGGGAGATGAAGTCTTGTACACAAATGTTTATACCAGCTTTATTTGTAATAAACAACAATTGGAAACAGTCCAAATGCCCATCAGTGAGTAAATGGATAAACAAATTGTGGTATAGTCATACGATGGAACACCACTCAGCAATAAAAGGTGAGTTGTTGATAAACAATAATATGGGCAGATCTCAAAATGTGCTGTATTAAAGAAGTCAGACAAAAAGAGTCCATCATGATTTCATTTATTTAAATCTTTAGAAAATGCCACTAATCTATAGTGACAGCAGATCAGAAATTGCTGCGAATGGGGGATTCAGGGAGGAGTGGAAGGGAGAGATTACAGTGGGCACGAGCAAAACTGGGGAATGGATATGCTCATGATTATGGTGATGGCTTCAGGGGTGTATGCATATGTAAAAACTTATCAGGTTGTACACTTTACGCAATTCATTATATGTCAGTTACACCTCCATGAAGGTGTCAGAAAAAGTTATTGCTCATATGACAGGAGACAGTTATCCCTATCACTAAGATGTGAAATTTTCCCTCTGAGAGTTTCATGATATTGTTTCTTGTAATCTTTCTCAATGTAAACCAATGGCAGAATGTCAAAACATCATTTGGCAAGAGCAATTCTTTGAAGGATGTGAGGGTGAATTGGAGATGAGGTGGAAAAGAATGCATTTTGGGTGTGCAACTCTTTGCTGGTCTGCTTTAACCTGGGGATGAGATTTTAGATCATCAGAGGAAAAGTTTTATTGCCATCCAGCTCGATGAGTTGCAGATTATCCTGGCTGCTGCCCTCATCATCCTAAATCCCTTTGGCCTCATCCTGGGCTCTGATGGGCGTATCCTGCTACTATCTTCCGAATCCCATCTGTTGCTGGAAGCCTCAAAGCCTTTACTACCTGCTCCTCCCACCTAATCATGGTCTCCCTCTTCTATGGCACTGTCATCTTTATCTACATCTGCTCTAAGGCCAGTTATGATCCGGCTACTGACCTTCTGCTATCTATCTTCTACGCTGTGCTGACTTGCAGCTGCAGGATGGGCTGGATCTCACAGAAGTGTGGGATGGCATCGGGGCCACAGAAGGGCAAGGAGAAGATGAAGGAGGTGTGGCCAAGCCTCACTATCGCTCCACACACCCACGCTGACCCCACTAGCTGTGGACACACTCAACGGCTCAGCAGCAGTGGATAGCAGAGGGGCTCGCAGATGCTTGTATAGCAGTCGTAAGCCATGGCTGCCAGGAGGCAACACTCCGTAGCGCCAAAAAAGAGAAAGAAGAACATCTGGAAGGCACAGCCAGAGCGGGGATGTGGTGCCGGCCAGTGAGGAGGTGATGAAGCAGTAAAGGGACAGTAACAGATGTGTAGCCCATCTCCAGGGTTGAGAGGATCCGAAGGAAGAAGTACATAGGGAATTGGAAGGCGGCATCTGTTGAGACCAGCACCATGATGAGGAGGTTGCCTGCCAATGTGAGCAGGTAGATGGTAAGAAAGAGAAGAACAAGCCCATGAGGTCAACCAGGTGGGAGAAGCCTACAAGAATGAATTCAGTCACCACGGAGGTGTTTGCACTCATCCTGCTCATATTCCTTTGGACTGGAGGACAAAAGAAATGGCAAGAGAAGCTGGAATTATAGACTTGTGAGACTGGCAAATGTTATATCTTAATGCATCAGATCAAAGATTGGAACTGCCTTTCTTTTAGAGTCTCATGGCCTTTGAAATTAGACAGCCCAACATGGAGTCCAGCTTATGCCCCATTCACTCTTGGAACTCTCGGCAAATAGTCTCTCTGAGCCTAGTACTCTCCCCTGATCTCTTCCTGGTAATGCTTACCTTTCACAAGAACACATCGAATTCTGTTTTTGGTTTCTCCTAGGGATGAGGGTTGAATCATTCAAGCTCCTCTTATATGCCTTTCTCACTTTCCTATCCTTCCCACAAGGCTGGGGACAGAATTCCTCTGCCACTTCTACCCCCCACCCCCCCAAAGATGTTTTTCTCCTCAGAGCCAGAATTCCTTCTATCTTTAGCGCTGTGAAAAATTGACTCCAAGTCGAGGGTCTACTTTTTTCTCTGTATCCTTCCTCTCAAATCCTTCTACCTCTATCTTTTTGTTTGTTTCTTGCACATGTTTTCTCTCCCCTTTCCTCTCAACTTTTATCCTCTCTGACCCAATGTTTACCTCCTCCCCCTCTATTTTTCCTTTCTTCAGCTCCTCAGTTACTAGACCACCCAGCTGCTCTTCTCTTTCTATCATTTTACCACCATATAAAATTCATAGTTTTCAAGGCAGAGGGAAGGAATTTGAGAGATCATTTCCTTCATGCTCCTGTAGGCAGTTAAGCAGTTCAATTATCCAGAGGAGTCAGGTTTTCTCTAGTTTTAAAAGATGTTCAGGAAGAAGATGACAAGGCCTTGCTTGATTGCTTATTTCTACTTTTACCAGCCTATTAAACTTCATCCCCTTTTACTATAACAGATATGCAAACTACCATATACTTATCATAAAAACTCCACAAAGCCACACATACATATTACATTTCTAAATACAAGCTCAGAAAAATAGCCCAATATCCTCATATGGCCACGTCCATCTAAGATCATAAATAAATCATATATTGTATATACATATAAACATCATTTCATATAACAATGAAAGTCAAAACACATTAAATGTAAAAATGTAAACACAGCCAAAGATACACTTAAATAGATACATAAGTCCAAATGCTGTGCAAGAATATAACCACATGCAATAGCATGTAGTAAACATACAAGCTTACAAACTTACATTCTTTTGCAGTTGGAGAGTCCTTGGGAGCTTTTTCAGTGTTTTCCAGGAGATAGTATCTGGATAATGTCTTTTTGGAGAAACAATCAGTGATTCAAGGCAGATGGTATTTGATGACTAGCTCGTTTTCTCCTTTCTCTACATAGTAGATCCCTCATGAGGAAGACACTGAGATTTGATGTCTCTTTAAGGTCTCTGAGAACCTGAGTCTCCAAGCGTATTTGGCTTTCCAGTGGGGGGAACTCCTTACATAGCCAATTAATCTGTTATTTTGGAATCTGTTCCTTAGATGGCAAGAAATATAGAATGACCTGTAAAGAACATCTCAGGGAAATGTCCAAGGTTGGTGGTCTCTTTTGGCACCCCCACAATCTCTCTGGGTAAACTATTTTAATTGTCTTCATCTCTTTTCTCATGATTTTCTTCTTTTCATCAATATAGATGCTCTAGAACACCTACAAAAAAGGCCTTTTCCATGTTGGTAATAATGCAATTTTATCTATCTCATTGCTATTGGTAGTAATCAATTTATTCGATAACCATTCAGAGAATCCTTTGTATATACTTAAGTCATTCTACAGAGCACAAGAATACGAAAGAGAAATAAACATAATTTTTGACCTTAATGAGCTAATCCATGTGAATCTTGCATTGATGTTTTTATTTATTATGCAAGAGTTTTCTTTCTACTATCATCATTTGAACTAGTTCAATTTGTTTTCTTCTATGTTATTATAATTTTTATATGTGATAAAGCCTGAGTGTCAGATAGGATGTTATCAAGTCAAGTAACAACCATTACAACAACAGGCCGCAAACTCACACTGGTTTAAGTAATAAGTTCATTTATTGGTTCATATAACTGGAAGTTCAGGGTTAAATTATACTAGATCTCTTTCATTTCCTTCCAATTTTTTTTGTACCTGTACCCTTTATTAGGTTTGGCGGAAAGTATGGAAAACCCAAAATAACAGTGATTCAAAAAGAATAAAAGTGTATTTGTCTCTCACTTGAACGTTTGAAGCTTTTCAGTTCAGGGTGATAAGGCTGCTCTGATCCATGAAGTCCTTATGGATATGGTTTCCTTTCAGCTCATCAGTCTGCTTTCCCTGGAGTGTGGCTCCTAAACTGCTTATGGTTTCAGATGGTGGCATCAATGTTACAGGAAGCAGGACTGAGTAAGGGAAAAATAAGACAAGGTGCCCACGTCATGTCTGTCTTAAGGAAGGTTTCTATGGAGGTCATGTCATTTTCACCTACAGCCCGTATACCAGGTTTTAGTGACATGGTCACACTTAGCTTCAAAGGAGGTGGGAAGAGGTTTTTATTCTGGATTTCCATGTGCCCAGGTAAAAGATTTATTAGTATAACTTATGTGGTATTCTTGCCAAAAATGTCTAACTTGAATATAATTATAAGGAAAAGTAAGACAAATCCAGATTGTGGCACGCCCTAAAGAAAACTGGCATAGACTCTTCAAAAATATTAATGTCTCTAAAGACAAAACAAAAGTGGGGATGGTACTGTTCTAGATTGAAGGACACTAAAAAGCACGACAATCTAATGTAATACACGAATTATGAACAAAATAAAAACAAAACAGCTCTAAAAGAATTTTGGAGTAATTGGGAAAATTGAATATGACCTTTATATTATTATATCATTATTAAATTTCTTGAGTGTGATAATGGCATTGTGCTTATGTAAGAACATGTCTTTCTTCTTAGGAAGAGGTATGATGAAATATTGAAGGGTGAAGTGTCATGATCACTGGAACTTTCAAATGGTTTATCCAAAAAAGTGTATATATATATATGTATATATATACACAGTCATCTGCCGCATAACGTCTGTTTCGGCAATATCCGACCACATATATGTCCATGGTTCCATAAGGTATAATGGAGTTCAGAAATCCCAGTTAGAGAATGGGACATAGGGGACGTAACCAGACATAGCGAGCACAACAGCTTTCTGCGTGCAACGTGTGTATTTCCTGTCTTTTGTATACCGGCAATCCCTGGGTTATGAACATCCGACTTACCGACATCTCATACTTAAGAAAGGACTGCCATAAAGCTTATTATATTAAAAATTTGAGTTAAGTACAATAGTTCATAATAATGAACGCATGCACTACTTTGCAATGCTCATGCAAACATTGTGCAATTTGAAAGAGTTTAAGTGTTTTATATGTGTAGAGAGGTAAAATATATACTATATACTAAGCAAACATTTGACTGACTGATGCTAAATAAGAACTATACATACCTGTTCCGACTTACCTACAAATTCGATTTAAAGACAGACCTAGGACTAGATCTCATTCATATCCTGAGGACTCCTGTAATACGGTGTTCTCATAGAGTCCAAATCACATAACGTCCTATTTCACAGAATGTATTGTGGACGTTAAGTGATGCATGACTACCTGCTGTATGTATTTGTGTGTGTGTGTGTGTGTGTAAATAGCCCTTGCCTCTGCTTTATGATATGTTTATCCTTGTGAGTTATTCTTCTTAGCATCATCTGAGAGACTGCATGGATTTTGTACTCTTCTTGATGCTACTACAGTTTTGGGGGTATGTTAGTCACGCTAGGCTAGGCTATGCTGTGATAACAATTCAAAATGTTAATAGCCAAATATAAAATATATATATATGTATATATTTCTCAATCATATAGGATCTGCATGGGTTCATATGAATCACTAGGATAGCTGCTGCCTACGTGCTGACTCAATATTCCATGCAGCTTTGATCTTATTTATATTAATTTGGAAGCACTTATATTTTTTATATTAAGTATTTCCATTCAGGAGCATACTGCATCTTTCCATTTGTTCAGCTCTTTAATGTAATTTTGTAATTTTTTTTTAAAGATAGGTGCTCTATTTATCCCTAAGTATCTCTAAATTTTTCACTAGAAATTCATATACTCAACTTCTGCATTTTAAGTTCTAAATGATATTGCTAGCGAAAAAGAGAGAGAGGGAGAGAGCAATTTTTTTTTATATTTATCTTATATCCAGCCGCTTGCCAGAGTCACTTAATTTTATCATTTTCTATAATCCTTTGGACTTTCTAGCTATAAAATCTAGCTAAAAATAATAAAATAAGACTAAAGATAACTTCATATATTTTTTACAATAATCATACTGACTTTTTCTTATCGCATTTGTTAAACTTCTAAAAATATTAGTACTGGCAGTAACTGTAGGCAACAAATTTGATTTTAACTGAAATACTTTTTAAGTATTTATTTCCTCTATAAATACTTTTTAAGTATTTAAATTCATGTTTTTAGGTCAATAATTTCATTGTGTTTAAGTAGGTTTCTATTATTCCTTTTTTTTTTTATAAGCTACTGCTAAATTTTATCTAATGACTTTTTTGGAGGCATCCATTGATATCACATGGTACTTCTTTTTAATTTTTAATGTAATTACTATGTTGAGAGATTTCTGATATCCTGAATTCAGAAAATAGACCCTGTTTGGTCATAATTTATTTTTTTCATATGCTGGTTGATTTTTCAATAATATTTTAAAAAATTACATCTATATTTATGAGATTGATGTGCACTTTTTATACTATCTTACCATGTTTGGGTATTAAGATAATTTTGAGTTTACAGAATCAATTGTAGGGTTTTTTTTTCTTTTTCTTTTTCTATGCCCTGGATTAATTTAAGTAACATTAGAGTTATCTGTTTTTTAACACTGAACTAACACTGTGAAACTATATGTTCCCAGTGCTGATTTTCTTTTCTTTTTTTTTGTG